GATCCCCCGAGGGTTCTGGCCCCCCCCCCCCCCGTTCCCCCCGTTTTTCGGGGCGGGTAACCCGTACGGGGCGCATTCCGGGCCGTTACAGGCCCCCCCCCCCCCCCCACCGCGCGCGCGCCCGCCCGCCCTCAGGCCTTGCCCCATCTCCCACCGCCGCCGTACTCCCCTTTTCCGCCCCCCTCTCCACCCCCTGTCAGCCGCAGCCGACCCCCCCTCCCCCCTCCTCAGGCCTGCCCCCCATCTCCCGCCGCCGTTGCGGCCGCGCTCTCCTCCCCCCCCCCCGCCCCTCGCCCTCTAGCCGCCGCCCTCACCGCCCACACCCACCCACCCACACCCACACCTTAGCCAGTTGCGGCGGCCTCCGCAGGTGCGGACGACTGCGCGACCTTTTGCGCCAGACGCCAGACGCGGCAGATAGATTCTCGCCGTCGAACATTCTCGCTCCTGTGGGCAGTTCTCCGCATCCCGGGTAGAGCGAGCTCCCGAGGTGCTACCCGCCCGCTGCGCGCGTTGGACTCCAAGTCGATACGAGCGCGCCGCGCGTGGAGCACGCGGCGCGCTCGCATCGATTCGCCACTTCCAGCGTGAGGGTGTATAAATAGCTTCAAAGAAGGACCAAGCGCACCAGCGACACAAGGGACTGTTCTACTAATCAAAACCCGCCCTCAAGGGCTGGGAATGCTGCGCTCCCGCACGCCACCCCCCGCGAGCCCCCCGGCCCCGCCCCCCCGGGACCGCCGACGGCGCCGACCCCGCGAATTCATCCGCGCTCATCGGGACGCGGGGGCTCTCTCGGCTCTACGGACGGCCTACGGGACCGGCCCCAGCTTCGGCTGAGGGCTGAGGTAGAGCCCGACAAGCTGCCGAGCCCGAAGGAGGTGGGCGTGGTGGGAAGGTGGGGTGGTCCTTCACCCCGGCGGCCCGCGCACGCCGTCTGAGCCTAGCGCAGCGCGAACTCGCTCTGGGCCTAGCGCAGCGCGAGATTTGCGCAGCAACCCGGCCGGGCAACCCTTTAAAAAAACTTATTCTTCTTTTCCCTGTGTCGAGCCTGTCTGCTGTGAGAGAGAGTTGCCCTGTCTAAATTCTTTTCTCTGTGTTCTCCGAAATGGCGCCGGCCAGCTCTGCCGACGGAAGCGTCGCCCTAAATCTGAACGAGCCCGCCGATCCGGTGCTCCAGGGCCTGGCCAGCGCGGGTCACAGCGAGTATGTCCGCCTCTACACCGCCGCGGCCACCGCCCGGCGCGAAAACACGCTCGCGGCCGTCGAAGCACTCGGCGCCGTCCAGCGCGCGCCTTGCGTCGACCGCGCGGGCCGTCCGGTGTTCCTCTTCTACCCGTCGCGGCTCGCGGCGGGCGGCGCGAGCGGCGTCACGCTTGAGCGCGTCACCGCCCACGCGCTGCTGCTCATGCACGAGCACGTCGTCGCTCGGGGCGGCGAGTACGCGGTCGTGTGGGTGACAAACAACCTCGAGCCGGACGAGCTCGGTTGGCGGTGGTTCGTGTCGACGTACCGCATGGTACCGCACGCGTACCACAAGCAGATGCGCTCCCTCGCCGTCGTCCACCCGGCTGTCTCGACGCGGCTGACGCTGCTCGCGCTGTCGTACCTGCTTCGGGCCAGCTTTTGGGACAAGCTGGTGTACGCGGACCGGGTGGAGTTCCTGGATGAGGTGGTGCTCCCGGCCGCTCTCTCGTTCTCTCTCACCCCCAGCGCAGCCACACTCACACAGCCAGGGGCTCGGACTGGACACCGGCGCGGCATGGGTGGACGCGGGACAGATGATGACGGCACGCTCGAGCGACACACAGACACACACACTCAAAAAGACGCCCGGGTCACGCTTCCTTGCCCGACCGGCGCGAGGCCGCTGGCGGGACATGCACGTGCACGTGCACATGCACATGCACATGCACATGCACATGCACATGCACATGCACATGCACATGCACATGCACATGCACATGCACATGCACATGCGCATGCAGGTGGTGGAGAGCGTGGCGGAGTTGGACCTGCCCGCCGGCCTGCTCGAGTCCGACCGCTTCCTGGAACCTCCTAGGCACCTTCTAGGAACCGTCTAGGAACCTTCTAGGCCTGCTCGAGTACGACCGCTTCCTCGACCGCGAGATGGCCGCCACCACCGCACAGGCGGAGGGGCACGCCGGCGGGTTCGGCCTCGGCGCGGCGCTCGGCGGCGGCGGAGGGCTCGGGCTCGGCTTTGGCGGCGGCGGCGGAGCGATGGGCGGGCCTGGCGGCGACCCGCTCGGCATCGCCCACGGAGCGCGCTTCGAGGAGTGGCGCGCCGAGGAGCGGCGCAAGGAGGGCGGCGGCGCGGGCGGCGGCGGCGCGGGCGGCGGCGGCGCGGCACAGGCGCAGCCGTACAACCGCGAGCTCAATCGCGACGACGAGGAGGAGGAGAGCGAGGAGGAGGAGGAGGCGTGATGCCGCGGGTGCCACGCTGTCACGCGGTTGCGGGAGTGCCTCGGCGTGCCCGTTCACCGCCCCCGACGGAGGGCCCACCGCGCCACGGAACCGCGCTGCGGGAGGTGAGTGGTGACTGATCGCCCGACTTCTGGGGTCTGTGGAGTGTGGGCGGTCTACCGCGGCGCCGGCGCCGGGTGCCGGGAACGGGCTCGCCGTCGGGCGGGACCGGGAAGTGGACCGGGAGAGAGCTGAGAGAGGAGACCGCCTCCACTTTGCACAGTGACACAGCCCCACACGCAGTGGAGTCTCACTCACACTCGCTCGCTCAGGACTTTCTTTTCCTACACCCGTAGCCGTACACGCAACAGCCAACAGGCCCCAACACAGCAACACGGATCACGGCTTTACCGGTTTACGAATATTAGTTTACCCCGCCTGCCGGACTGCCGCTGCCCGCTTGTGGCTTGAGCCTTGACCTTGACGCGCTTTTGACATTTGAGAACAGTCCTCGTTCCGAACAATATAGCCAAGACTACAGTCTACTTTACATGCCGAGATGATGCGCATGAGATCTGGACGCGGCACACAACACAGACGGGGTGTGCACACGTCGACAACCATGCACAGAGACAGAACGCTCTCTCAGTCCCTCGCGACGTAACGCAGCACAGACGGGGGATCGGCCGCCACAATTAGGGGGGGCAGCACAGACGCGACACAGAGGAGAGTGTCAAAAGTGTTGTTCCGGTGGGCGAATCACCCACGATCTCGAGCCATCGTCCGCTCGGGTGGTCTGCGCGCGCGGTGCGACCCGCGGGCGCAGCCGTCGCTCATCTATCAGCGCTGGGGTTGCGTGTGCGGCGCACTCGACGCGCGCATCCATCGTCGCGCGCGGGCGGGGGGGAAGGAGGTGTGGCTCCCGCGCCTCCCTTCCTCCCACCCCTCCCATATCGGGCATTAGATCAACAAGGCCGGGGTGGCGGCGGCCCGGTAGCTCCCGCCCCCCCTCCCTCCCATCGCCCGGCCAGCCGCCAGCGCCTCTCAGCAAGCGACGGCGGGCATGACGGGCTCCGCCGGCATCACCGGCTCCGCCCGCATGAGCGGCTCCGCCGGCCCGCGCGGGTCGGGGCGGACGGCCACGTGCTGCCGCTTTGGCGACGAGTCGCACGAGCGCCGCTCGTCGCACAGCCCGAGGTCGCTCATGACGCAGTCAGAGCCGTTGTCGGCGTGTAGGTCGGCGGTGCTCACGGTGCGCACGCCGGAGACGGAGCCCGACTCGCTGGACGAGTCGGAGCACGTGTCGTCGCCCAGGCTCAGCCGGCTGGGCGGCGCGTACCGCACCTCCGCCGCCGACAGCTCCGTCGGCGCCAGCTCCTTGGAGACGCGGCGCTTGCGGCCGCCCGCCGCGCTCTTCCGCTGCTGCTCCTTCTCCCACTTGAGCAGGGGCGTGCCCGCGGCCGACGGCCTGCAACCGGGAGGCGCGAGGGCGGCGGGGGTGAGGGGGCGGCGGTGGAGGCGTGGGGTGGCACGGGGAGGAGGGGGGAGAGGCGCGCGCCAAATCCGCGGCGGCCGGAACGAGCGTCCAGAACGGCTCTTGCGCTCGGGCTCCTTCTCCTCGGGCGAGTCGGAGATGTCGAGCTCGGCGGTCGTCGCCGTGCTGTGCGACGAGCTCGACTCGACCCGCCGCAGCGGGCTCGGCGTGGGCTTGGCCGGCGCGCCGCCCTCAGCGCCGAGCGCCGGGACGGCTGGCATGACCGGCATGTGCCGCTTCTGCAGTGCGGTGACGGCGGCGAGTGCCTCGTTGGCGGCGGCCTCATCAGTGAGCCCCGCCTCGCGCATCGCCTGCGCGCAGTCCAGCGCGAAGTCGTCCAGCGCGCCGCCGCACAGCTCCGCCAGCGGAACGGCCCCTTGCTTGCTCTTCTTTCCCTGCACGGGCAGGCGGGAGAGAGGGGGGAGGGGTGAGGCGTGCTGGCGGCAGAACGAGCCGCCGGCAGTGAACGCGTGAGCGCCGCAGCACGCTTCGTCGGCCGCGAGCCCCACCCGCGGCGGGCAGCGCCGGGAGCACAAAACCGGCGCGCGGCCGCCCGCGGAGTGTGCGTGTAGAGGCTGAGCGGGGTGTGGTCGGGCGCACCTTCCCGTCGGCTGAGCGCGAGCCATTTTCGCCGAGGGCGAGCCCAAACCAGAGCAGCGTCTCGATGGCGGCGGCGCACGTGGACGGGTCGGTGTGCTTGGCCGCGCCCCTCCCCGGCGGCGCCGGCCCGTCGAAGCCGAGCGGCGGCTCGCCCGCGTCCGCCCTGCCGCCGCCGCCGCCCTCCTCGGCGGCGACGCGCAGGTTTGAAGAATAGGCCGCCGCGCGGATCCGGGAGCGGACCATGGCGAGGTCCGCGTCGCGGAGGACGCGCCGGCTGCCCGCGCCCCCGCTCCCGTCGTCGAGGACCTGCGAATCGGAGAGGCGGGGGAGGGCTGGGGCGGTTAGGCGCCACCACCGTTCAAGCGCCGCCGTTCAAGCGCTGGAGGGTGGAGGGGTTGCGAGAGGGGAGGTGGGGCGCGGAGGTGGACGCGGCGGGCCGGGCTGCTGGCGAGCGGCGTTCGCCGCCGCACGCGCGGCCCGGAGCGGTCGCGCGGTTCCGCCCGCTCGCCGCGGGAGGGTGGTGCGGAGGCAGTCGCAGCCGGCGGGTGATTGCACGGCGGAGCGCACCAGAGCGTCCGACCCCTCCCCCTCGAGCCTCACGAGCGGCCGGTCGCGGTCGAGGCACTTGGAGAGTATCCCGCTGAAGCACTTGTCGTGCTCCGTCGCTCGCACCCGGCTGTCGGCGTCGCGCGCAGACCGCGCGCTGTACCGCTGCGCGCTGAGATCGTTTGTTCTCTGCGCGGCGGTAACAGACGCGGGTGAGAGCTGATGGTGCTGCGCGAGCGCCGTCGCGAGACGGGGGAGGCGGGAAGGGGGGAGGGGAACTCGCGCGCCTGCATGTCTGCGTCCAGCAGGTGAAAGTACTCACAGTACTGCACCCACCCCTCCACCCTGGCAGCGAGCGAGCTGTCGGCCGGCGACGCCGGCGGCGGCTGGACGTGGGCCGGCATTCAGCGGCTTGCCGCTGGAGGAGCACGGGGCGAGGCGTCTGTCGGGCGGGGCGGAGGGGCTCAGGCGCCGAGCGATGGCCCGTGGGCGGCCGCGGCGAAGTCGCGTACCTCCAATACGAGTGGCAGAGCGACCACGATGTGTGGGGCTCGTCAAGTGGGTCCGAGCTCCCGATCTGGAATCTTCTCAAATATTGAAATTGCGTTTTCTTTTTTGGCTCTCTTTTCTCTCTCCCTCTTTTCTCTCTCTCTCTCCCTCTCCCTCTCCCTCTCTCTCTCTCCCTCTCGTCGTTGTCGTCTTCGTCGTCATCTTCGTCACTGCCGCCGCCGTTGCCGCCGCCACCGTCGCCGCCTCACCGCCGTCACCGCCGTCGCCTCCGCCGCCTCCGCTCGACGCGCTTGCCCGTTCGAGTGTACTTTTGCGTCAGCAGCCAGAGCGCCGACTCATGCGACCTCGGCTGTACAATGCTGTCTTAAGGTCCGACAGGTTCGGCACCGGGCACCGCCTCGGTATAAAAATGCGCCTGCGGGCGGACCCTCACAGATCACAGATCACCACTCGGTCTCGCTGTGTGTGTCACACACTTCTCTACGCCGAACGCGTCCTCGGCCACCAAAAAGCTGTGGGTGAACTCGTACTCGTGCACTGACTCGGCCATGATACCTTCCCCGCCCGGAGGCCCAGTTTGAGGCCTGCTATCGTTCGCAGCCGAAGCTCCCGTGATCTCCAACTAGGACGTACGACCCTCCTGTAAGTTGACGGCCCCGACCCAAGCCATGTCGCGGATGGACCGTGGGCGTGGCGCGCTTCATAGCCGTACCTGCGGTCCCTCGCGTTGCCATGTGATGCCCTACGCTCCAAACCAACTCGTCCTACCGCTCTGACCCGCACCTGCACCTCCCCCATGGTGCCGGGCGGAGCGGCCGGTAGCAGTCGCTCGAAGAGGCGCGCGCGGCCCTCACCCCACGGATGGACCCTCGCGACTTGTCTCGCGCGTCAAGCTCGTACCCGCCCGCAAGTCACTGCTGGCTTACCGCCAGCCAGAAGCGTCACGATGGCGCCGCATTGCACGTCAGGCAGCCAAAACGCCGCTCGTACCTGGATGTACAGAGCTGCGTCACTCATGTCTGTTGAGTACGCGACGGCAACACGCGAACGGGCATGCTCCGGGGCAGATAAATCGCGTGCGAGGGCGCATGCCACTACCCGCCACACCTACCTCTTGCGCCCGTTGCCCCCCAAACCCATTGCAGCAGCACAAGCGAGATATGCAGCGCGCAGCCCGTAATCTCGTCCTGGACGCCTTGCTACAGGTGTGCTGACGGGCTGCGCGTGAGGCTGCGACCGAGAGGTCACCCTCACGCTCGACTTTGAGCCGAGCCCACCAGCCCGTCCTGGTGCCGCAGTGATCTGGTGGGTAATCTAAATCTCCCGCTCGCCGAGGCGACACCTCGCCGGCTAACAAAATGCTGCCTGTGGGTGTCAATTCTTCATCATACACCTAGAGGAGGCGGATCTCTGAGCGTTCGCGCGCAGCATTGTCGATGCACCTCTCTCTAGCTATCTATCTGGGCCGGGCGGCACGGTCCTCTTGGGCATGAGAGGTGAGTTTTCCGCTCGCTGGTGCTGCGTCGTCGGGCGACCAGCGTCGTAATCACTCGTGTTGAGAATCATATTTAATCAAGAGAAGCTCAGATGAAAGCAGGATGTTTTCTGTTTTCTTGCCGCGAAGCAACGGAACTCGCGCCTCTCTTGTCACGTGCCCGTCGCTGCCCGTCGCTGCTGGTAGGTTGCAAGACGCGACGCGCATGAGCAGACGCCACCGTGCGAGAGGCACAGCATGTGCCGCTGCGACCGACGACGCTGCAGAGGCACCGGCTGGTCGCACACGTGGCGCTGCAGCGGCAGCCGCACCGACACCAGGACCGGTCTCCCCCAGTGCGGACGTCCCAGACTGGGTAGGGCCTCCCGGCAGCTCGGTGGCCGACACACGCGACTCTCCTGCTCTGATAAGCAACCGTGAGCTCGAGGCCTCACTTGCCGCGCCAAGTGCGGCAGGTGTGATGAGCGGAACTGCCCCGGGGCGCGAGACCGGGCCGGTAAAGGGGACGGCTGCACCGAATTCTCCCGTTCGCGTGGTTGCGTGGGGACCACGCCGATGCGCGTCAGCCTTCCGCTGCGCAGCTCGCTGTGCTGCGCCGCCCGGCAGTGTCGCTGGTCGCGCCCGGCCGGATTGAGAAGAAGAAGAGGCGGCGGGGCGGTCGAGGCAAGCGGGGCCGGCAGGCTGGCGAGGAGCCCCCGAGCCCTCAGCCGCGCCGCAGCCGCCGCGGGGGAGGGGTGCAGTAGAAGAGAGTAATTGGCACCTGCAGTTGTAAGTACGTGTTGCCATGCACATTTTGCAGCTGCTGCGAATGAAGGACCAGAGGGAGTGGCTGATAGCGGGTGTTGTGTGTGTCTCGCCCCGCAGCCACGAGAGGCCGGAGAGCCACCACAGCAGCGCACACCACAGCAGCGCACTTCTGCCACACAGCGCCGGTTGATGCACTCTGCGTACGCAACCGCTGCCGGCTATCGCCTACGGAGGCATTGCACGCCCTGTCCGCTACGCGATGGCGAGGCAAGCCATCGACGGCATCAGAGGGCGAGGCAATGGATGGCACATCTCACCGCCTCGGAGTCAGCGCCATGGGCGGAACTAACATGTCAGGCTGTAGACCGTGAGTCGCAAGCTCTGCTCTGCTCTCATAGATAGTTGATGGACAATCGGCATAGCGGACGAGCCTCCCCACTCTTCTGGTGTGTTGTGGTCCGCCGGCTCTTCTGGTGTGTTGTGGTGCGACGACCGAGTGCTGCTCGCTCGAGGCCGCCGCCCTTTGCACGCGGCGCTGAGGCGTGATGAGGACGCATGCGGGTGGCGCACGACACTCGGCGGCCATCGGGAGGCGCCAGCTCGGCGGTGGTGGCGGCTCGTGGCCGCAACGTAGTGGTGTGGCTGAGCCAGCTCCGGGACGTTCGTTTCGATAATTATGAACGAGTTAGTCCAGAAACATAGCCAAAATCCTCGGGTACGTCTGTAAGAGCTACATACACTGGAAAATCACACGGTATGCTCAGAACATCGAACCGACCCAGCGTTGTGCTCCGCAGCGACGATCTTCTTCGCCGAAATCTTAATTTTTTCTCAGCTTCGTCGGCGGCGCGTCCAGGCTCTTCCTGCGAAGATAGGGTCGTCTTGCCGCAGGTGCCGCCTCGACGGCCGGCCGGCAGCCCGGCCTCGCACCGCCAGCGAGCGAGCCATGGAGGTACTCTCAGCTTACTCGCCTCTTGCCTCTCGCCCACCGCAGACCTTCGCGGCGCATCATCGCGAGATGGCGGCCAAGTACAAGCCGGTCACTGCTCGCGAGAAGCAACGCGCCTCCCGCTTCAGCGCCTCCAAAGCGCCGTCGACGCCGCCGCCTAGGCAGGCCGCCAAGACCAAGGCACAAATCGGACGAGCGCCCTTGCAGCCGACAACGCGGCCGCCGCCGGCACTTGCGGCGGCAGGTGCGCCCAGCAAGCCGGCGTCGTCTGCGGACGTCAAGACGCACGGCGGGCACGGCGGAGGGAAGGAGAACGGGAGCTCCAACTTCAACCCCGACAAGTACAAGCGGTCGCCCTGCGACAGGCTCGCCTGCCCTCGCTCGCGTCACCCCTGTCGCCATCACGGCTCACCTCGCGTCGCCCTGTCGCCCTCGCCTGTCCTCGACGTCACTCGATGGACGCCCGCAGGTGGAAGGCCGGCCAGTGCTCCAAAGGCGACCTGTGCTGGTGAGCGCTGCCCGCTCTTGTGTGTATCCAGTACTCCCCCCGATCGCCCCCCTCGCTCACTCACGCGACAGCTCGCGACCGTGTGCACCGCAGGTTCAGGCACGGAGCACAGGACACGGCGACGGAGGCGCCGTCCTTCGTTCTGATGATGCATGTCGAGGAGGGGCTGTCAAAGCCCCCTCTCATCCGCAAGGGTGCCGCTACCCGCTCCGACCCCGCGTACAGCGAGTGCCACCTGTGCGTCGGGCCCGCCTCAAACGACTGCGTGCCTGAGGGCGCCCCCTCCGAATGTGCAAACGTGCGAACGACCGAGCCGCTCGCCAGCGCCGCGGTCGGTTCTGGTGAGTCGAAGTCAACGGACAGCCCGGCCAGCCCCCGCAGCCCGGTGACCGTGATGGAGCTCAGCCTCGAGCCGCCGCAGTTCCAGCCCGACCGAGGCCTCGTCCTCGACGCAGCGCCCCTCGCTTTCCCTCTCGAGCCACTTCGTGCGACCCCGTGCGCATGGGCGTGGGGTGGCTCGCCCTACTTTGTCTTTCAGCCCTCGCCGCCGCCAACGTCGTCGCCTCCACAGGACCTCCCCTGGCCCTGGCAGTGGTTCAGCGGAGGCGCAAAGGCGGCGCCTCCGATCTGGGAGCTCCCTCTGGTGTCGTCAATGTCGATCCCACTCTCGCTGCTGGTGACACCGACCGACGGCGCATCCGCATGCTAAACAGCTAAAGACGGCGTCGCGGCTTCCTCACGCGTCGTTACACCGGACCTCTCCCACGCCACGTCGCTTGCGGCGGTCCCCTTCCCAGCTCCGCAGAGAGCCCGTGCGTTACGGGGTGTGGAGGGTGAGTTGAACAGGGGGTTGTGCGCCGGGCCCTCCTGCTCCGCCGCAGGCGCCTGTTGATAGGTCCATGTGATAGCCCTGGATGGGCAATGCATACGCCTCACTGGACCTCAGATCGCCCGACCGCGTCCCGGTGCTCTGCCGTCGGATTTGTGACGCCGCCGCACCGCGCCGCGGGCGCGGCCGGGGGCCCTCTGAAGCGCCCCCGCCCCGGCCTCCGGCGACCCGACGGCCGCCTCCGCGGCGGCGGCGCCCTGCGCGTCCAGCTGCAGCTCGATCGCCAGGGCCAAGCAGTCCGGGCCCTGAGGCCCCCGAGCAGTGCAAACATCCATCGCTTCCATGCCTCGAGGAGCGATCTACCGGTTCTCACCCGTCGGCAGAGACGCCGAACGAAAACGCCTCTCAACCTCCTCGAGATTCAGTTTGGGTTTGGGGCTTGGAAAATCAATGTTTTGGTGGACCATATCCCCCCCTATCAAGATGCTGTCTACCCTCACCTCCCCCCGTAGGTCGCCTTCCTCTACGACGCGCTCAAGCGGATGCGGGCGGTGGCGGACCTGGAGGAGGGAGAGAGCCACCGCACCTCCCACAAGGCGGAGGCGGAGGAGGCGGGAAGTGAGGCGGGCCAGTCCGTCGCGGTCACGGTCGAGGTGGAGGCGGACAGCGAGGGCGAGGCCCATGGCGAGGCCGTGCTGCCCGAGACATGCCCAAGAGCACGTGCCCGGCCCAGATAGATAGCTAGAGAGACGTGCATCGACAATGCTGCGCGCGAACGCTCAGAGATCCGCCTCCTCTAGGTGTATGATGAGGAATTGACACCCACAGACAGCAGTTTGTTAGCCGGCGAGGCGGGAGTGCGGCGGCGGCAAGTTGGTTCGTGGCCGCGTCGCGAGCGAGGGTAGCGCCGCAAGCGAGGGTAGCCGCCGTCGATCAACAGCGCATGCCGCCGCGAGCCGCCGCGAGTTGCAGCTAGTCCAGCGGTAGGACGTGCGGTCGAACCGTGAGCTAGCACCGGTACGGCGCACGTATAGCCGCACCAGCAGCAGAGCAGCTGCGCTCGCCATCGGCGTTCGAGCGAGCACAAGCGACTGGCTGTGGAGGGCGCTGGTCATGGCGGCAGCAGTGGCGGCGGGAGCCGCCGAGCGCCTGTTGAGGCGCGGCTACGACTGGACGCTCACACGGGCATCGAGGATGTGCAGCAGGGCACTCGAGCGTGCGGTGGCCGAGCGACGGCCGCGGCGCACCGAGGCTGATGGAGGTGCACCTGACCGCCGAGCGGCTGCGAGCGGCCGCCGAGGAGGCATCGGCGACTCCTCCGCCCCACCAGGAGCCACGCGGGCGGCCAGGGAGCGCGTGCGAGCTCGCTGACTTCGAAGCAGATCTCGGCGTCGTGCGTCCCGCTGCTGGCTAGAGATCGTCCTAGTTGGAGATCACGGGAGCTCGGCTGCGAACGATAGCAGGCCTCAAACTGGGCCTCCGGGCGGGGAAGGTATCATGGCCGAGTCAGTGCACGAGTACGAGTTCACCCACAGCTTTTTGGTGGCCGAGGACGCGTTCGGCGTAGAGAAGTGTGTGACACACACAGCGACGAGTTCTCCCACGACGCACGAGTAAGAGTTCTCCCACGAGTACGAGTTCTGCTGTCTCTTCACATGGAGAGAAGCCACGCTCCTCACTTCTCCCGCAGCGGCTGGCTACGCTGGCCAGCCTCCTTCGCGAGGGAGGCCAGCAGCCCGGGACGCAGCGCTGCCTCAGCCGGTGGGACCCAGCCCGGCTGCGCGTGCAGCGAGCCTGTGAGCGTCGCCTGTAGCTTCGGCAGCGTCGTGGCGCCTGCCGCCGGCACCCCGGAGGGCGGATAGTAGATATCCATGATGAGCGACACGCGGCGGCGGCGTCGGTGCCTTGCCAGGCGGATGAGGCGGGAGCGAGGGCGGCGGCGTCGGCGCCTTGCCGGGTGGGTGCGGCGGCGGCGAGGGCGGCGGCGACGGTGCCTAGCCAGGCGGATGAGGCGGGAGCGAGGGCGGCGGCGTCGGCGCCTTGCCGGGTGGGTGCGGCGGGAGCGAGGGCGGCGGCGTCTGCAAGCGACGGCAACGGGTCTGGGGGTAGCGGCGGCGCCTCGCTCCGTCGCAGCAGCGGCAGCGGCGGCGCGCCGCTCAGCCGCACCCTCGCCGCCAGGTCTGCAACCGCGCCGCTCAGCTGCACCCTCGCCGCCAGGTCTGCACCCTCCCGCTCGCTTGCCTCCGCCGTCGGCACCTCGCTCTCCTCCGGCAGCCCTGGCGCCGACCCCTCCGGTTTCTCCTGCACCAAAGAAGCCGCTCCCGGCGCCTCTCGGCCTGCCTGCCAGAGGCGGCGCGTCGCAAGCGGACACGAATCCAGTGCTCGCCATGCGCGCTCGCAAACTGAAGCCAAGTGCGCGGGAAAGGGCGCAGCCGGAAGCGCAGAGCGCAACTCCCGGTAAGCTTCAGCGTCAGTCGAGGTCTTCTCCATCTCCACCACGAGGGCCGTCAGGTAGTCCGCCTTGAGGCGGTTGTGACGTGCTGTCACAGCCGCCTCACAATGACGATCGAGAGCCGCTCGGATGACGAGCCGCAAGTCGGAGACCGCTAGGGCGGTGAGCCGTTGCGACTCGCTCTCCCTCAACTTCCTCCTCGGCAACCCCCTCCACTTCCTCCGCAGCTCCGCCGCCGCTGCCTCCGCCGCATCGCTCTCCGGGTCCTCGTTGTCGAGCGCCGCGCAGAGACGCCGCAAGTGAGCCATCTCCAGCCTCGCCTCCGCCACCGCCGCCGCCTGTGTGTGTTGCAGTAGCACCTCCGCGCCGGCATCCAAGACCTCGAGCAGCGCCTCGCGCGCGCCCCCCGGGGCGCGCGAGAGGACACGGAGTGTGCGGAGGCACTGCGCGAGGCGGGAGTGCACACTCCGCAGCTCTGCCGCCGCTGCCTTCGCCGCATCGCTCGTCGGATCTACCGTCGTCTCCCGCTCGAGCGCAGCGATGAGACGCCGCAAGTGAGCCACATCCTGCCTCGCCACCGCCTCCGACACCGCCTGCGTGTGTTGACGCAGCGCCTCCATGCCGATCCAAAAGACCTCGAGCAGCGCCTCGCGCGCGGTGCCCTGTGCGCCCCCGACGCCGCCTTGACCCACTCCGCCCAACCTCCTCCGCAACTCCGCCGCCGCTGCCTTCGCCGCATCGCTCGTCGGATCTGCCGTCGTCTCCCGCTCGAGCGCAGCGATGAGAGGCCGCAAGCGAGCCGCGTCCTGCTCCGCCTCCGTCACCGCCACCGCCTGTGTGTGTTGGCGCAACGCCTCGAACGCGGCGCCCTGTGCGCCCCCCGGGAGCGCACAGTGCGCCGCGGGCAATTTCCTCCGCAACTCCGCCGCCGCTGCCTTCGCCGCATCGCTCGTCGGATCTACCGTCGTCTCCCGCTCGAGCGCAGCGATGAGACGCCGCAAGCGAGCCGCGTCCTGCTCCGCGGCGTCCGCAGCCCGCAAGCGAGCCGCGTGCTGCTCCGCCACCGTCCTGCACTCATGCCATCGCAGCGCCTCCAAGGCGCCGCTAATCCTGCCCAGTTGGGGGTACCGCCAGAGAGCATGCGCCGCATCATCCGCCGCTTTACTACTTAGATCATCATTTTGCAGAGTCTGGACGTGCAATCGCATACGCCTTTGTAGCTCTGCATCCGAGGGCGGCTCGCCGTAGCCCCCTGTTCCTGTCGAAGCCGCACTATCATGCGAGGTCCTTCGAACTAGAAAGTCGAACTGCTTTGAGTCGGCTGGCGCCGAGGCCGCTTCGGCTCAGGTGTTGCAGCGTTGCAACGCCTGAGCCACTGGTCCGCCGCCTCCGCCGCCGCCGCCGCCGCCTCCGCCTCCGCCGCCGCCGCCGCCGCCGCCGCCGCCGCCGCCACCTCCGCCGCTGCCGTCCGGAGGCTGGGAGAGGCACGCGCTGCGGCGGACGGCGGCGCCGCGGCGGACGGCGGCGCCGCGGCGGGCGGCTGCAGAGCAGCGGTGGGTGCAGCGGCGGCGGCGGCGCAGATACACATCACCACGTTCGCTGCATTGATAAGCAGATTGGCAAAGAGCTGACGCGCAGCGCCAAACACTCCGCCGGCTCCGACACGCTGCGCGTGCCAGGCCAGGTGGTGAAGACCTCCCTAGGTGCGCGGACGAGGCGGTATCATGCTGGAGCAGGGCTCGAGAGCAGGAGAGGGGCAGCGCGCGAAGCGCCTGCATCTCGGCCTGCTTCTGCGCGAGGAGGGTAAGCATCGGCCGATTCTGCTGGTCCGCGTACGGCGAGGTCAACCGCGCCAGCTCGCGAAGCAGCTCGTCCAGCATCGCGAGCTGGGGTCTGAGCGCTGCGGCGTCCATCTGGCCACGCAGCAGCGAGAGCGGCGCCCTTGCGGACAGCAGCAGCCTCGCACAGAGGCGGCCGAGGTCGCTGTCGCCCACGGCCTCGGAGAGGACGCGCACAGCGCCCTGCAGATCCAAGACAGACATGGCGCGAAGAGCTGCGCCCAACTTCGATGTGGTGGAGATTTTCTCATCGCTCAAGGGATCGCTTGTCATGTGTGAGAGAGTTCTCGAGGTTCTCGAGGTGGATATCCTTTGGCCGCGTTGGGTAGCGAGGATTGGTGTAACCCGAGCCACGGAGGCGTGTTTTCTGGCGGCCGACCGTCAGTGCACCTGACGGCCGACCGTCAGTGCACGGAGTTGCCACTTCTCCGACTGCCCCGGCTAGTTCCCGAGGTCGCGCGGGGCTGACCCCTGCGTCCCCCGAGACCTAGCGCGGGTGGGTTGGAGGGGCCTCCGTTGGAAGGCGCGCAAGCACGCCCTACGTCTTCCCCTCCTCCCCATCGGGCCGCGTGAGCGGCCACGCCTCGCAGATTCGTTTTGGGGGGGGGCGACAGGAAGCTGCCTCGCCCGCTCGCGCCCGACTTTCTACCTCCTCGTGATCCAGCCCGCCACCCCCCTCGCCTCGTCACCCTCCCGCCGCCTCGCCGCTGCCTCGCCCGCACCCTCCCGCCGCCTCGCCGCTACCTCGCCCGCTCGCGCCCGACTTTCTACCTCCTCGTGATCCAACCCGCCGCTCGCGCCCGACTGTCTACCTCCTCGTGATCCAGCCCGCCACCCCCCTCGCCTCGTCACCCTCCCGCCGCCTCGCCGCTGCCTCGCCCGCTCGCGCCCGACTTTCTACCTCCTCGTGATCCAGCCCGCCACCCCCCTCGCCTCGTCACCCTCCCGCCGCCTCGCCGCTGCCTCGCCCGCTCGCGCCCGACTTTCTACCTCCTCGTGACCCGACCCGCCACCCCCCTCGCCTCGTCACCCTCCCGCCGCCTCGCCGCTGCCTTGCCAGCTCGCGCCCGACTTTCTACCTCCTCGTGATCCAGCCCGCCACCCCCCTCGCCTCGTCACCCTCCCGCCGCCTCGCCGCTGCCTCGCCCGCTCGCGCCCGACTTTCTACCTCCTCGTGATCCAACCCGCCACCCCCCTCGCCTCGTCACTCTCCCGCCGCCTCGCCGCCACCCCGCCCGCTCGCGCCCGACTTTCTACCTCCTCGTGATCGCCGTGCCGTTTGTCTCGCCGTCCGAGACGTCCTGCCTGCCGTCTGCTGCCGCCGCGCCGCCTTACCGCCGACCCTTTCCCCGCCGTCCAATGCTCCGCCGTCCCTTCGCCGCTGTGGTCTGCCGTCGTGCCACCGTTCCTTACCGTGCCGCTCCTTCCTCCGTGCCGCGCCGCCCTTGCCGTTTAGCCTGCCGTACCCCCTGCCGTCCGTAACCGCCGTGCCGCCATACCGCCGCTCCTACAGTGCCGCGCCCGCCGTACCGTATGTCCCGCCGTCCGATGTCCTGCCTGCCGTCTGCTGCCGCCGCGCCGCCTTACCGCCGACCCTTACCGTGCCGCGCCGCCTTTACACACACACCTTACTTTCTGCTCGACCGAGTTTGCGCTGATGAGCGAACCGAGCCGCCGGGTGCCCCGCAGCGGCCTCGCTGGGCCAGAACGTCGGCCCCGAGTGCTCCGCAGCAGCCTCGCTGAGCCAGAACGTCGGCTCGCGAGGTGGGGTGCTAGTCTGGGACCCATACGTGGCAGTTCCCTTGCTCCAAGCGCTTGCGCTTCGGCGGTAGTGATCTAATCACCCGAATACCACGTTCGGATCGCTCCTCATCGCAAACCCCGTCAGCAGTTCACCTACGGGTATGTTCGTAAGAGCTACATACACTGAAAAAAACTCCCATACCGGTAAAGATTGAGCACGACTCGACTCTTTCTTCATTCATTGCTGAACTCACACAAAAGCCGGCCTGCGGTTGCCCCTCGTTGGCTCCTTTCCGAATCACCAGCACGAGCGCTTGACGCACCTTGGAGCACTTGCACCTTCCTAGCATGGCCGTCGTTACTTTCGCCGTCGCCTCTGCTGCTTGTTGGCGGAGCGCCTCGCGCCTTCCCTCGTCTCCATGCTCCTCATCTTGTTCTTTTTGTTTTCCTGCGCTTCCTGTCGCTGGTCCGGCGACGTATCTTGCCGTCTGCCTTCGCTTCCTGGCGGGCCGCGTTTCCTTCCCCTCGCCCCGTCTGTTTTCTCCTGCGTGGTCGCCCTCGCGTGCGCCGCTCGCCGTCTGTTCTCCTCTCTGCTCGTCGTCCTCGTCCCCTCGCTGTCGTCGCTTCCCTCCGGCGCTCGCCGCATCGTCGCTCCTGTCACCGCGTTTCCTGCGCTGGCCTTCGCCTTCGAGCTCGCAGTGGGTCGTTTTGAGTGTCATCCCCATCGCTCTCGTCGTTCTGCCTCTCCCCGCTTCGAGGCGTCTCTCTGCCTCTTCCCTTACCTTCTCCTCGGCCTCACGTTGTCGATGTCGCCTCCGTCGCCAGCAAATACACGCATTCGCCGCCCACTCCATTTCTCGTATCCTCTCCTTCCTTTCCTTCTGTCCCTCTTTCAGGCGTTCTGTTTCCGCGGCTACTCGTTCCTTCCTCTCCGCCTCAAGTCCCTTCCTTTTCCCTTCCCGTACTTTGATTATTGATGCCGCCGTCTGTTGCAGTGCCTTGAGTGAAGTCACTTTGTGTCTGTCTCTGACGTGTCTGATTCTCGGTACTCGGAATCTGTCGGGCCATATTAATTGAAATCTTGTCTGAGATTTAACGCGCAATAAACATCAGTGTACACCGAGACTGCACACTTAAGCTAGGTATACCTGCGCAGATTGTGCCGCGCCTCGGGCAGATAAGAGAGCTAGAGAGGAACGGTTCTCTACTCGCTGTCACGAGAAGACGAGATTGAGGCATGAGGGGTGCCGCGGCGAACGGCTCTATTGCAATAGACACATTGCCGATGCGTATGGCCCGGCGCGGTGCGACCCCGACAACGCAGCCCGCGGGATGTGACGCCTCCCATGAGGGGTGAGCGTAGCCCGACAGCGCAGTCCGCAGAGATTACGCCATGAGCGTGACGTCGGTGCGCAGGGGAGGCGTGCAGGTGTTGCCAGAGGAGTCTACCCTCGCCGCCTTGCTGCCCAGAGCCGTGCGGTCTGTCCCCGGCTCGTCGTAGGCGCGCTCTATCGAAGGCCTTCGGAGGCGTTTGCGCTGCACGAGGCTGTCGATCTCAAAGTCGAAGCGCCCCGCTCCGCCGGGCCCGAACGGCGAGAGCACGTGCACCACAAAGGTGGCGGCGCTCGTGACGCAGCGCCGGATGAAGGCCGTGTGAGGAACGACCACCTCGGAGTCGTCGTCCCCCGGCGAGAGTGGGACTCCCAGCGCCGAGAGGGCGTGGACATACTTGCTGTCCCGCTTCAGCGCCAGCATGAAAGGGCTGTCGGCCTGCGTCTGGCCGACTTTGCACAACGAGTCGATCGGCGTCAGCGGGGCGCTCAGCGCCTCAGAGAACAGACGCGCGAATCGCTGGCGATCGGGGACGTTATCGAAGAAGAGCTCGAGGAGCTTGCCGGGCTTGGACCACAGGTCTGGGATCCCGTCGCCGCCGAGCGCGGTCACGTACTCGGCAAAGTGCTGGTTCGGGGTTGGGCCTTGCTGCGCGCCCGCCCCGTCGTGCATCCCGAGCACATCGTCGACGAGCCGCCTCGCCTCGAGGTTGGAGCCCGACAGTGTACGCACGCTGACCATGCAGGGCGAGTAGAAGAGGTCTGAGACGGCGTTTGGGACGGCGACTCGCAGCGGCGAGGAGCAGGTAATCGGCCCCTCCTTGGGCTTCACGGCGCTCAATGGGAAGCCGAGCTGGCACGCCGACTGCATCGCAAAGGCATTCAGGCCGTGGCAGTCTTGCGCCTCGGCGACGTCGATCACGACGTGGACGGCAAACAGCAGCGAATACCGGTCGGTGAGCGGCTTCCCGCTGCACCCCAAGGCGAGCAGCCTGGTCATGTACTCTGCGATCTGCGAGAGGCTGCCCGTGGACTTGCTGAGCGTCACGGCCGTGTCGATCGCGACCGGCGTCGGGATCAGAGCCTTGCTCGGCGGCCCGCTCGCAGCGGCACCCGCCTTCTTATCGGATCGATCGGGCAAGTGGAGCCCGATGCGGCGGGACTCTGCAAAGATCTCGCCCGCGTTCTTCGCCGCCACTCCCATTGCAGCAAGCTGCCTTTTCCGCTCCCGCAGCCAGCGGCTACGGCACGAGCTGGCGGAGCGGCCACAGAGCGTGGCGGCGATGGCCTTCCAGCAGAGGCCATCTCGCACCCCCTCGTCAATGGCTTTGTCCTCCTGTGGCGACCACATGTCGCCGCCTCGGTCTGCCGATGCCGGTGCCGCTCCCAAAAGAGGAATATCGCAAACTGCCGGCTCCTTGTCCTTCCGCTTCTCAAGCCGCAGCCAGCGGTTGCGAACGGCGTGATTGGTGCGGCGGTCGCCGCGGTCGTTCAAGGGAGGCAGCATCAAGGCGATCTTCCTCCAGATGGTCCCGATCTTCGAGACGGCGCGCATGATGATCTCATCCTCCTCCGCCGACCAGCCGGCCTTGGCCGCGGGGCCCGGAGCGTTCGAGGATCCGACGGTGGCCTCTACAATCGACTCGATGGTCAGTAGACTCCACCCCATGGGCGCATCCTCCCCGAGGCTGACGGAAAGGGGCGACTCGCGGCCGTCGAGGCTGGCGCCAAACGACAGCGACGACTGCAGCGATGAGGCAAAGCACACGTCGGGGCTGATGGAGCGAGCAACGGCACGGAAGCCGCTCGGGTCACCCCTGTCCACCGAGACCGTGACCCGAAACCAAGCCTGGCGCCCTGACGCGTGCAGTAGTGGCATCTCAAAGACCTTTCCATCCCACTCGACCTCGCCGGTCTCATAGGTGGTGATGAAGTACGGGAGGAAGCCCGTGATCCACTTTGAGTCGCACAACGTGTACGAGCGCGTCAGGGCTAGCGGGTTGCCGCTGCACCCAGGGCGAACAGTCAGCATGTCGTCGTGCAGGCCGCATCGCACGGGGGTCAGCCTGCACGAGGCGCCCTCGATGTGGCCGTCAAAGGAGAGGACCTCGCCGGCATCCGGGTCGGGCGCCGGCCCCTCGTCGAGGAGCGCGAGCAGCGCGCTGGAGACCGACTGGAGCGAGTCCTCGCGCGCGATGCCGGCCGAGGCTGCAGCGCGCATATATGTCGGGGGAGTCGGGCGCCGCGCAAGTTGTGAGTCGCACCCAAAGGTGGCCTTGCTCCTCTCTTGCGCAGGCGTCTTCTTCGCTGTTTATCGATCAACACTTTCGATAGACCGAAAGTAAGATCGTTCGGTGCAGAAACCCCGGCCATGCCCATGTAACGCAATTGTGCTCGATTTTTTGGTAGAAGTGTCTCCAAGTCTTCTGGACCCATCGATGGCCGTCGCCTCGACGCCGCTCGTCGCGGCACCATCGTGCCCGGCCTGGGCGAAGCATCGTCGCGGGCGCCAGCCGCAGTTCGACGGCAAGCCGTGCGAGCCTGCTAAGGAGGAGGACATGTGGCTGTGCCTGGCCGACGGCCGCGCGCGCAGCACCGCCGACCTGAAGCGCCTGGCGACAGCCGCTCGGGTGCGATAGCGCCTCGCACGTCGCACGGAAAAATGCCTCGGCCCAGCGGTCCTGAGTGCCGGCCGGGGCTAAGAAACCACGGCGTGGGCTGGGGGAGGAGGGTGGAAAGGCTTAGAAACGGCGGCGTGCCACAGGATCCTGTTTTCTCTTAATGCCCGAAACCCACTGTAGCGCGTGGGGTGTGCGGGACGCTGGGTCTTGCGCGTCGGCGCTGCGGCCAGATGCAGATCCACGAGCGGTGCGCACAGTCAGTGGTCATAAAGCCACAACGAAACTAACCCAACTAACCCTACCGCTATTTCCGCTAAACGGCTCCTCATGACAGCTGTGGTCTCACACCAGATTCTGAGAGCTACACTCTCCATCTCACCCTCACTACCAAAACAATTCACACGAGGTCCGCCGGCAACCACCGCGTGGTGAAGTAGGACGCCTCCGACGTGCAGACAGACGCCGTCTCCTCGGTAGTCTCATCGTCCGCCGACTCTGGCGGTCGATGCGGCAGCCCCCATCGGAGAGCGACCGTCTGCGCCGAGAGCTCCTGGAGGTCGAAGACTCTGGGACACACTTCTGGGATCTCAGGCAGCGGCACGGCGCCAGGGACGAACTCCGGGGCTCCAGCTCGCAAGGCCCCACCCTCTCCTGGACGCTGCGGTGCTGCCGCCGGTGACGGCGTCGGTGCCGCCGATAATGCCTGCGTCTCTGGCGCCCGCGCCCGAAGCCAGCCCAGCCTGGCCTCCGCCGCGCCTCGCTTGTTGCCGCCCAGCGCACCGAGGCTGACGAGGGTGACGAGGTGGCCTACACACACAGGAGCGGCCGTATCGGCTCGCTTCGCGGCGCACCGATGCGGACGTGCAATCGCGCCGTTGCGCTGATCCTTGCGCAACCGCACCTCGCCGCCCATCGCACGCTGTAGCAGCCTCTCGAGCGACCCCGACGTGAAGCGCTGAAGTGGGACGGACTTGCCGCGGCTGCTTGAGTGTACAGCGCCGGGAAGCTTGAGCAGGCGCAGGCGCTGCCAGAGGGACGTGAGGCACGGGTGAGGTATCGAGGTCGGGGGCCGAGGTCAGCAGGGCCTATCTGCTCACCGTGCTGAGGTCGCCGAGCAGATACTCGTCGTCGCCAAGAATGCCGACGACCTTTTCGAGGAGCAGTACCTCGCTCAACGTGATGGGGCCCGTGACGCGCTCCGTGGCTCCCCCCGCTCCCTCGTCGTCTCGGCCTCGCGATGACGCGCCGCCTCGCGAAGCGCAGCTTTTGCACCGGCGAAGCTCCTCGCTCGCCCTCCTCTGCATCACCGAGAACCTCTCCGGCGGCAGGCGGCCGTTACAGCCACCACAGCGGAGGGTAAAAAAGCTCTGAGGCTGCAGCCAAGCGGAGACGCCCGGCACGTCCTCACCGTGAGCGTTGCGAGGAGAGGTGGGCATCCCTGGCCGGGCTGGGCGCGGCGAGGATGTCCGGACGACTGGCGTCCAGGCAAGGAGGCGTCCCAGCGACGCCTTTTGGAGCTCTATCCGCGCCCCCCCGGCACGGTCGCGCGAGCGAAACCGAAACGGGCCACTTGGAGCAGTCTGGAGCAGGCTGGATCACTTGTGGGGGGGCGTGGGTACGGCAAGTTTGGGAGCTTAGAGGAGATCAAGATGTGATTCTGGATCATGTAAATAAATAAAATAAAAGAGTCCGAACAAGGGGTGGGAGAAGGACAGGGTCCCCACCTGCGCGAGCAGGATCTTGTAAGGACGATCAGGGACACAGGGGAACGGGAGCGGGGGGAGCGCATCGCGACACGGAGGGGGCTGGGCAGCAGGGCAGGGTTCACCCACACGACAGGGTCCCAGGGATTCCCCTCTCGTATAGGACAAAGTTGCACCCGGCGGCACGGGGGCAGGCGCGGGCCTCCTACTGGTTGCGCTCTCCTAGTTCTCCTGCTACTGACAAAAGGGATCCATGTCGTGCGAGGGAGTTTTGTTGTAAAATTCTTTTTCAGAGACCGAAACGGCGGGCGTCCCTCCATGGCGGCTGCCTCCGGCGGCGGCCACCATGGTGGCCGACCTGGAGCTCCTCAGCGGCCGCAGCCGCTCGTGGCCGCTGCCGAAGGCACCGGTCGCAGGAGCTTCAGCTCGGTACACGCCCTGCCGGCCGGTGGGCCATGCTTTGTTGGACGACGTGCTGGTGCTCTAGACCAACGCCAAGTCCAGCTGAGCTCTGCCTGCCGGCCGCCGCGACGCGAAAGCCAGCTCCTCGAGGCTCTTCCTGCTGCTACGGCTCGGCCGCCGGGCAGCCGGCTCGCCGGGCAGCCGGCTCGCGCCTCGCAGCCGGCTCGCGCCTCGCAGCCGGCTCGCGCCTCGCAGCCGGCTCGCGCCTCGCAGCAGGCTCGCGCCTCGCAGCAGGCTCGCGCCTCGCAGCAGGCTCGCGCCTCGCAGCAGGCTCGCGCCTCGCAGCAGGCTCGCGCCTCGCAGCAGGCTCGCGCCTCGCAGCAGGCTCGCGCCTCGCAGCAGGCTCGCGCCTCGCAGCAGGCTCGCGCCTCGCAGCAGGCTCGCGCCTCGCAGCAGGCTCGCGCCTCGCAGCAGGCTCGCGCCTCGCAGCAGGCTCGCGCCTCGCAGCAGGCTCGCGCCTCGCAGCAGGCTCGCGCCTCGCAGCAGCTCGGCTCCGTCTGTCATCGCACGCCGTGGCATATGACTTGGGTAGGCGTGCGACCGCAGCGCGCCCGCCGTATAGGCTCGACGGGGCGCGCGTGTCAGCCAGAAGTTTGCCAGTAGAGCGATCCTGGTTATGACTGGAGTGTGAGTGAGTATTCTTGATACGAAACCACGACGACACACACCAGTCGACTCGCATCGGTTGCCTCCATGAACGGCGGAGCTATTCTCGCGCCCACACCACACCTGGCTCCAACGTGGACACGTCCATAGCTGGGGACACTACTAGGTCACGCATGGCATCACAGAAGTTTTATCTCTGGGCCCCGAAAGGCATCTCTAGCAGCGTCGTTACGCATGCCCCCTCCCATCCTGGGCGCATGCGCCTCACGTCTCGCCAGAGCATAAGCCCTTGGCGTGTGGCGAGACGAGTTTTTCGCCATGCAGCGAGCAGCAAGCCGCCCGCCGCAAACAGCCGGAGGCATCGCCACGGCACTGGCTGCGCCGCGCTCCCGCACCCGTCGTGCGTCGACGAAGCTCCCCCCGCGGAAGACCGCGCGTAGCGACGCCTTGTCGATCGAGATGGGCGCGCCTGAAGCTCGCCCACCTACTGCCCCTGAGAGTTGGTTACGAGTGGGATCAGCTCCCCCCCTTGGGATCAAAGCTTCCCCGACCTCACACCCAACAACACAGGTGGGATCAGAGAGAGACTCCACACCGGACACCGCCCGGGCACAGCCCCCCTACCCGTCGGATCGCACAGGGCCCCCTAGGAGCAGCCCACACACAATCTCGCATCGGCAGGTTGCGCCTGAGTCAGGCAGACAGCAGACAAGGAGAGGAGAGAGGAGAGAGAGAGAGAGAGAGGAGGGAGGAGAGGGTGAGGGTGTGTGCACACGTGTGGAGCAGGGAGGGTGTCTGGTCCCTGCGATGGCCCACGGTCCTCCGTCGCCTGGTCGAACCCCCTGCCTCCCGGTTGAGCCCCCAGTCCTTGCAGTCCATCATGAAATAAACTCAAAGATCCACCACAGCCACCACCCTCCGCCTCCACCGTCGAGCCGCGATCGCTGCCGCCCACGACGCCGCCCGCCGCGTCAGATTGCCGCGACGCGCGCCTCGAGTCGAGTCGGAGAGCCGCGCCGCACCAGCAGCAGCATCAGCACCAGCAGCACCAGCAGCACCAGCACCAGCAGCACCAGAGAGAGGCGCAACCTGCCCGACGCCGCCGTGTCAGATGCTCCCGACGCGCGTCTCGAGCCGAGTCGCAGAGCCGCGCCGCGCCAGCAGCATATGCACCGGCAGCAGCAACATCACCACCAGCAGCAGCACCAGAGAGAGACAGTGCAGTGTGACAGCAGCGCAGAAGCGCTCGCAGAGCGGCGCGCAGCGCCGCGCACGCCACGCCGCGGGCGGTCGGACGAGCGCAGCGTACGTCGGCCGCGCGAGCCGCGTCGCCAGCCGTCTCGCGAGAGAGCGGCGCCGCCGCGTGCGCGCAGCAGCCGCCGCGGCAGAGGCGAGCCGCGGCGACGGCCGCACAACCGATAACTGCCATTGGCGGTTTCACACTTCACACACACTTTGACTGGACGGTAGCAAAGAAGAAAAATCCGCGGGCTGGCCCGCGCGAAATTTGCGAGAAATTTTGCCAGAAATTTGCACTTCGCAGTGGTCCGCGCCCGATGGGCTCCTCCCAGTCCCAGTCGCAGTCAAAGCCCGATGCGGGCGCCGCCGCGGCTCCTCCCTCCGCCTGTCCAATGAGGGCCGACGGCGGCGCCGCTCCGTCCGGCAGAGCCGCCGCCGCGGAGCCGCCAAAGGCATCGGGCTGCCCAGTCGACCACAGCAAGTGGAGCGCGTGGGCCGGCCGGTCGGCGGCGGCGGCGGGCGGCGACGGCGAGGCGGACATCAACCCGGACAACCGCATGCCCGTCCTCTCGCAGCAGCCCGCGGCTGGGCAGGACGCGGTGCTCGACACGAGCCGCGTGGTGTCGAGCATTCCGCAGGGGCGCGCGGGGGCGACCGAGCGGTGGGTGTACCCGTCGGAGCAGCAGTTTTACAACGCGCTCGTGCGCAAGGGCAAGGACGACGGCGTCGACACGGCCGCCATGCCCTCGGTGATCGCCATCCACAACAACATGAACGAGAAGGGCTGGGCCGAGGCGCCGCTCGGTAGGAAGAGCGAAGACACACATCGCCACGCGAGGGGCGGGGCACGCACGGGGCACGCACGTGGCACGGACGCCTGGCTGCAGACAAGGGGAGGCACTTAGCAGCGCGGGGGAGCCTACGCGACGACGGCGTCCTCCGACACGCCCCTCCGAGCTGCTAGCTCGGCCGCGATCTCATCCTCATTCTCCCCACATCTCCCCACATCTCCCCACATCTCCCCACACCTCCCCACGCGAGCTGCAGGTGCTCGAGTACGAGCGGCTGCACTGCGACACGTGCGACCCGGCCAAGGTGTCGCTGCTGCGCTTCCAGGGCCGCCCGTTTGAACTGTCGCCAAAGGCGCGACTCAAGACGGCGCTGGGTACTACCGCACCACCCATGGGACTGAACCCACACTGGATTCGGTACTCTGGGGGTATGGGACTAGGTCTCGCGCCGCGCCCCTTCGACCGTCACGACTGGACCGTCGACCGGTGCGGGACCGAGGCGCGGTACATCATCGACTGCTCCTCACCCCTAACCCCGACCCTGGCCCTAACCTCTGACCCTGACCCTGACCCCAACCCGAGGCGCGGTACTAACGTTTAACCCTGACCCTGACCCTGACCCTAACCCTGACCCTGACCCCAGCCCTAACCCGGAGGTGCGGTACATCATCGACTACTACGACGCGTCCGCCTCGAGGGAGGCGGGGGGGCCGCTGCCCTCGCTGCACGACCCAGACGGTGTGCCGACCATCCTGATGGACGTGCGGCTTGTCCCATACCCCCCAGAGTACCGAATCCAGCGTGGGTTCAGTCCTGTGGGTGGTGCGGTAGGTGCGGCCTGCGGGCGACACGCCGGGCGAGCTGCTCGACCGCGCGAGGATGGTCTTGCAGAAGGGCGTCGTCGCGACGCTGCGCGAGGCGCTCACGCCGATCGCCACGAGCGACTCCACCGTCTCCGCGCCAGCGGCTGGCGGGGCGGCGGCGGAGGCGGCGCCGCCGCCGCCTGCAGTCTCCGAGGCGGCGGCGGTGCGCTCCGCTTGCGCGTCGGCGATGGAGGCGCTGTCGGCGTGCATGCAGAAGGGGTCGGACGACGCCGGCTGCATGCAGGCGCGGATGGGGCTGACGATGTGCATCGCGCAGCAGGTCTGGAGAAGAGAGGAGCGGGGAAGGAGAACGTGGGGAGGAGAGCGGGCGAGGCAGAGGGGAGGAGAAGGGGAGAGAGGAGGGAGGAGTGAGGCGGCGGTCTCTCGGCAGCATCTCGGCTGTTTGTTTGCCGTAGGTCTGCTTCGCTTAGGCGGACCTCCTGGACCTTTCCTGGAACCTTCCTGTAGGTCTGCTCCGCCGAGGCGGACCTCTTCCACTCGTACAAGGGGTCTGCGGACGGGGAGGGCGGCGTGGCCTAGATGCTGAGCATGCACATGGACATGTGCATGCACATGTGCATGTGCTCTTGACACGCATTCCCCGGTCTTCCTCTGTGTTGCGCTGTACTCACTGTACTCGCAGCCCCTCGTATTCACGCGGTGCTCTGAAGACACTGCACAATTCCGTACCCGCGTCCCAAGGTTGGCCTCCTCAGCACGCAGGGTTGTACGCCGCACAGCTGCTGCCACACCACCCACGGGGCCGAACTCACACTATGGGACACATAGGCGCCGTGGCCGCCTTCAACGCCGTCGAGAGCTGCACGGCGCGGTGGGCGAGCCGCGCGCAGGGCGGACAGCAGGTGGAGGCGGCGCAGTGAGGACTCTCTCGCGGGCGCGAGGGCGGGCAGGAGGCGAGCTGGAGACGCGCAGGCCGCCGGGCCAGCAGTCGCGCCACTGCCGACGCGCGGATATGCCGACTCTCCCACCCTGCCGTGCTCTCGCTCTCCTCCCTCTCGCTCGTGCCCCCCCCCCCCTCCCTGATCTCGATGGACCTCCCCCTCCCCTCCCTCCCCCTCTCGCGGCGGACAATTAGGACTCTCGCCTCTCGGTGGGTGTCCGGCGCGCAGTGTGTGTGTGTCACTGCGTGTGTGTGTGTGTGTCACTGCGTGTGTGTGTCACTGTGTGTGTGTGTGTGTGTGTGTGTGTGTGTGTGTGTGTGTGTGTGTGTGTGTGTGTGTGTGTCTGCTATGTCTTTCGTTTTCGAACGGTATCTGTGGGGCTTGTGCAGCTTGGCGCCAAAATCGAAAATGTGCGCGACGGTAGAGGCTCTAGGACTAGGAGTAGGACCCACAAAGAACCCTGCACAAAGATCGCAAGGGCGGGGGCCTGTTCCTTTTTACCCATCTCACAGTAGAGAGGTGTCCGTTTTATTTATTTATTTATTTAGAGGCTCTAGGACTAGTAGAGGGTAGACAGCGTCCTAAAATCTAAAATCTGAGGATTCAGGATTGAGGCATCGCTTCAGTGAGGCCAAAGTGAGTTTATGGATGTGTGTGTGTGTGAGAACGGTACGGGACACGAGGAAGCACGCGGACCGACTCGTCGGCGACTCTGCTGCACGGCGTTTCAGAATTTTTCTCAGCGTGAGCGAGACGTGGAAGAGTGCCACCGTCAGGTACCCGCCGGCTGCGAGCACCACTTTTGCGCGCGGTGCACGTACAAGGCGCTCGACTTTGGGATCCGGGCGTGCCCGCTCTGCCGAGCCGAGAAGCCGAGGCTCCACGCCAACGAGGCTTGAGGGCGATGGCCCAGGCCGGAGAGTTGAGGCGAGAGGCCCGCTCCGGCGATCGGACCACAGCACGAACCACATACCACAACGTTGCATCTCCCCGCATGTCTCCCCCTCCAGTTGTTGTGTATCATCAGAGTAGTACGGTGTTGTCAAGTGGTAAGGTAAGGTAAGGTAAGGTAAACTTCTCCACACACACGAGGTGGTGGGGCAAGGGGGGGCAACCCTCGCGTCTCCACGTCTAACGACAGGAGCCCCACGGCATTTAAAGTGCAAGGCCCGGTGCGCGTGGGTGAGCAGTGTGTGTGTGTGTGTGTGTGTGTGTCAAGTGGTAAGTGCGACGTGCAGACTTCTGAGCTTTCTTATCGTTCGAGTCGGAATACGAATTAAATTCAAAACTCGCGACGCACATGCACATGCACATGTGCATGTGTGCGCCGGTCCAGCGCGTAGACAAGTGTTGCCATCAACGAGTAGAAGGATCTGACCTCTCGGGGCCGATGTGACCAAGCGCTGGTAGCGTGGTTTTACCTCACACCCTCACCCCTGGTCTCACAGTGTGCCGGCAGTCGCCGAGCAGTGTCGCTCACACAAGCCGCAGCACAAGTGACTGAGGGCCAGTGAGGGCGAGCCTAACGCTGTGACAGCTGTGGCAGCCGCACAGTAGGCTGTGCCATCTGTGCAGAGCGTGTGAGCAGTGTTATCAAGCAGAGAGCGAGCCCTCTCGGCGGCCCTCTGACAGCACACTGAGCTGTGCCTTGGACTGACGAGCCGAGGGCGGCAGGTGAAGCTCCGTGTCCAATCCGGTCAACCGCTGCAGCACCGCGCTGCACTGCCGCTCGTTGATCTCCGAGTACCTCGCGCCAGCGGGAGGGCCACCTTGGCTATGCGTCGGTCAGAATCCCGGCCCATCTCGGGCCGCATCGGGGCGATACTTGGCTACGTCATGACGATACCTTGCCAGCGGGAGGGCCATCGGGTCGACGCCAAAGGGAAGCGCCGAAGAGTCGCCGATGGCGATCACCGCGCGGACCACGAGCACGATGACCATCATCTGCAGCCAGACGTACACCTCGCCGTCGTGGTGGTACGAGTAGGCCACTGACCAGACGTAGACGAGCAGAAAGGGGTACGTGAGCGCGTCGTAGGCACGCGGCAGCTGCGTCGCTTTGACACGGATTGACCCACCCAGCGCCTTTGCCATCTCCACGAGTGTCTGCTCCGCGCCGGCCCAGGAGGTGGGAGTGTCACGGAGGCGGCCATTGGCGCGCGCACGCTCCTTGTCTACGTGGGTCGAGTTTTTTTTTCTCTCCACTCTCCCACAGAGAGAAAAAAATTGCTTTCGAAGAAAAACGAGCACGCATATTCTCCCCCCTCCATTCTCTCCCCCTTGGCGTGGCGCGCCTCTCCCCCAGCTCTCGGTATCGCGTACTGCACGAGGCTACCGTGGGCCCCGCCTGCGCGCTGGGGGTTCCCTTCCCTGTCGGGAAGCCTAGCTCTGAACCTGGGGTCGCTACCTAATGCGGGGCGAATGAGTGATGAAGTTAGTGCCTTGGTGTGCCCGTTCCCCGTTATGGCTTCCCCTGGTCTCGCGACCATGAATGAGAGCTCTCACTCCCAGGGTACTCCCGCGTATCTGGCTCCCTTATCCCCCCCCTCTTCCCCCCCCTTTCTCTCTCCGAGATGACCCGTGCTCTACGTGCCTAGGTTGGGTCTTCGGGGAGGGGGGATTGTCGGTGTGTCCTCGCGAATTTTTCTCGCTGGACGCCCAACAGCTTCGATTTCCCTCCTTAGCGCCCCGGGTAGAGCGTGGTCTCCCCTGGAGCCTGCCACGCCCGTTCTGTCTAAGCCCAGGGTTCAGCTTTCCAGTTGATCCTTATCGGACTGGTGAGTTCCTTCTCGCTGCCAGTGTGGCGCCCCGGCAAACATTGGCAGCGGTGCTACACACACTACGCCATCATTCGTTTGAGTTTTAGGAGTGTTTTTTGTTAACAATTTTTGGGCTAGCTATCTCGCAGTACATGCGCACGAGCTTAGCGTATTGTTGCACTATGCACATAGCGGTTTAACAGGAAAGAAATTTTCGCCATCGTGTTTTTATTTTTATGCTTATGGCAGGGGTGAGGGGTGAGGGGTGAAGGGTGAGGGGTGAGGAATGAGGGGTGGGGGGTGAGAGGTAGCTGTAGGCCTGGGGGGTGGGGGTGGG